ACCTCGGACAGGCGCTGCGTGAAGCCTTTTCCAAGGAGGGTACCCCTATAACGCCCTATTGAGCAACAACTTTACGTCCCAACGCCTTCCTTGCCCGCCCGCCCACAAACGGACGACCGTTTCTGACGCTCGTATTCATTCATTTGCTGAGCAAATTATGAAGCAAAGGAATTGGTATGAGCGGCCGCGATGCTTGCATGACAGTACATGGGTACACATATGCAGCCGTATCTTCGGTAGCGGTGATTGGCAAGATGCGTACGGGAAACTCGTCCGAAATCGATTTACAAGTCACTGAGAACGGAGGCTTTTTCTTCGCCGGATTTTGACCGTTTCACTCCGTTCTTTCGCCATTTCCCCACTATACAGCGCCCTACTAGCATTTTAGGCTAAGTAGGAAACTATCGTGCCAACTGCCTTTAAGTTTCACTGCGACCCTCCAAAAGAATTAAAACATGACGGTCCTTCCTCCCATCCCTCTGTGGAATCCCCCAGTGGTGCATGTCCTGATGACTTCCCTGTCTTTGACGGTGTAAGAGATGTGGTCTAGACCAAAAGTCAGAAGATAAATAAAACTTTGTTCCATTAGAAGAATATGCAACATACAGGGCAAGGCAAGTGAACGCAGCTTTTTCACAATCGATCTGGGAAAAGAACAGTTTCCAAGAGAAGGAACGACTTTGACAACCTGCTAGAACATACATAATAAATAGATGTATATATGTATAATGTATAATAGTGACTAATAGCCGTTGGTCTCTGCATTTCTCTATGAGCAAACTGCGCTACGACGAGTATAATACTTTAAAACTCATGGAATCATGGCAGCAACAACCAAGTGTGTTTTGTGTTGGCCTGCGGAAAAAGCCTGCATTACCATCACAACATTACGATAATCAGCTATTTCCGATAGAATAATCTACGTGAATACGCAAATTTGCGTGTCTTGGAATGCTTACACATAGTGAACTTGACACAGCTAGAACATATCCAAAATAAAATTAATCATTAAAAAAAATTTAACTAGTTTCCCGAAAGAGAACGATCGAGGAAAGGGATCGGTACAGAAGTGATGCGTACTTAATCAAAGCGATACAATAGGGTCCAAATGAAGCAAATTCTATGAGAGTTTTCCATGCGAATCAAAAAAAAGTAGAAGTAGCCGCGCTTGACTGCTGTGTCAGTTTTGATCCAGCCCGCTTCGTCTGATGTCGTGCAGTACTTCTTCCGGGATGGTGTGTGTCTTCGTCGGTGATTGCAGCGTTTCACGCTGGTTCGTGGACATATTCAGTTGTTCCTGAACGAGTTGGTATTTATGAGAAAAAATGAAAAACAGAGAGGTCAGCAGAAGAATGCTGAGTTTTGGGCAAACGTTTTGACACCAGGCGGGAGCCGAACTCTCACTTCACGCTCGCGCCGGGCAGTGCGTTATCCGCTATGCCACAGGGACCGGTCGTTACCCTTTCAGCTCAATGGCTTTTATACAAAAACTACAACACTCGAAACTTCAGCGAATGAGCGGAAGCCGATATGAGAGTCGGCGATGGGGACGGAAGAGGCGGGACGGGATTTGCACTTCTGCTAATTCGATCAATTGTCGCAAACATCTAGAATCGCGAGCTCAAGACCGTTGACAGAACTCGCCCATAGTGTTACCGAGACGTTCGCTCAGCTTCACAAGACTTCACTAAGGTTTTTTCCCTCGAAAGGGCCAGAAAATAACCCCGTTGCCGCTTCAAGGAACGCAGAGAGACCTTCGGGTATTGACACTCTTTACTGTGTACTAATCCACTCGTCGAACTTCAGGACACTTTTTGACCAGAAGCTCAATGTGTAGATTCGATCGGTACTCGTCCTGGGCGCCTGACCGTTTGATAACCGTGGTTGAACACGGAATCCCACGCGATTCCGAGAGTTTTTGGCGCTAATGCGGCTACGGCCCGGCTGTCAAGCCAGTTTGAGGCAACGTAGTTTCGACCACGCGAATGGGAATCAGTCCAGTTCCCATCTCTGGAACAGGTTTCCATCGGCGTAATGAGCTGTTTAGGCGGTCACGCCTGCGCCGGACCTTCAAGATCATTTGAAGCGGATGTCGTATTTTTTTTGAGATGTCCAACTATCTCCCAGGACAGAAATCTGCGACGAGACATCTGTATTTCGATCAAAATTCGATCTGAAAATCTTCGAGGATGTGAGCAAAAGATTTGTGCCATGTCGCGTGCACACACTAGCATTATTCAAGGGTAGTCGGCTTGGCGCGCTGCAAGGACTAACTCTAATAAGCAAAGCGTGTCAAAGATAAGCTACGATAATTCGATACTCAGCTCCGAAATGGTAGCAAGGCCTGTCACAACAGTGAGAGAACCGCCGAAAATCAAAGGTAATCCGCCTCAAAAAACCCGCAGAAAAAGCCATCGTTTTCCTCGACACGCCGCGAAGCCAATTCGGCGATTCCCGCTGGCATTGCAATAACGCTATGGCAGATTACGGCTGCATGTATGTACTCATACATATCCTATGCAGCACGCAGCCGCTCATAATCTATCACCTTTTCTTGTACTGTACTCGGCAAATGACGCGATAGGCACGTCAGCATCGTCAGACACTTGTGGAACGGGCAGCACGGTGCGTCAGATTTGGTTTGTTGCTGCTTGATAGGCGCTATTAGAGGTAACCTTTCTTGAAAAGCCACCATTGAAGTGCTTTGCTCCAGGCAGCGGAGTCTCCCTGCTAGACGTATCCATCTTATAAGTCTTGAGGATTTACCGTGCCACTTGCCTTTGAATAAGTTGGATCATGCTGAGAACGCTGCGTGCGTGACCCCCACACTGTTACCCTCTCTTGGCCGCTTTGCCGCAACTGGGATGATTTCTGAATCCTGTCTCAGTTCAGTCCAATCAAACTCATTACTATTCAGCACCAGCCCGGCACCTTCCTCATCCAGCTCTAGTTTTTGATGACCTTCGATGACACTACAGGGAAGCAATCAGCCCCGGTTCTCAAACTAGCCAGTTCAATTGCAATCAACTGCGCTATTCAATTAGCGAACTGTAGTAGAATCAGAACTGGTTTGAACTCTGAAATGCACTGCGTGAAACGACTCCACCCTTCATTCCACAGCCTCAAAAGATCTCTCGCCATTCGATTCACGACCAACGCTTACGCTCCTTCTGCAAGTGAATTCCTTTCCCTGTAATATGATTAGTAACCATGACTATCGCTGAAGATAGCGGCGACTACGGGCGAGAAATGGCATGCATTTGATAAGCGATGAGAAACCGTCTCGCCACTGTGAATTCGTCGCTCGTGAGCTCGAGCAGTTGCTACAGTCCAGCCGAAAATGACAGGACTTCCAAATGAAAATGAAAAAGTTCTCCCTACTGTACGAGTTCATGGCTCAACCCTAAAGTCCTTGGAACATTAAAAAAACCAAATTTTGGAAAAAGAAATGCATTCACCAAAAGCATACCTTATAATGCATGCAGAATTTCCTGAATCAGCCGGCGCACACTCCTCAATGAAGGCGGCTGTTCGTAAGCCTGGCAGCCACCATTAATTCCATAAGTAGGTAAGATTGCGAGGGAAGTCAAAGCTGAAAAAATGCTTATTACTATTAACGTGAAAGTCTGCAAACGTCGCCCTTCCAAGCGTTCGCTCGAACCGCAATGTTTCATGTCGGAATGGATTGCAACTGTTTTTAAGTGCTTCTGTCGACCACGGGTTTCCAAGCAAGATGTTTGCGAAATGCGTCCCTTTAGGGTCCTTCCGCGATGGGACAGGGCGCTATACGTTGAAGGACAACAGTTTTCTGAATGTAGGAAAGAACATTCTGAAGCTAGAAAGGAGCCTTTAAGTGGAAAGTTCCGAGGTACTTGAACCCAGCAAAATATCGCCTTTTAAGTTGGGCAATTATTTCTGGCATACTGCAGATTGAATTTCAGGACTTTGACCAGCTATTTCAATATTATGGATTATTAATCTACACTAAGCACTTTAAATTCTATAAATGCCGTTCCTCTAGACCAGGGCACATCATTGCTTGGGGATTCTGGTCAAGCCCGTACGACCTTTTGGGGGTTGGTACGACCCCCTAGGAAATTCTGCTGTCGAGCGCGGGGGGGGGGAGTATGTAGTATACAGGAAACAGGAAAAATCACGAAAAATCAGCAACCTCTCTCTCAGAAAGCTAGAAACCGAATACGACCCCCCCCCGCCCTCCCTACAACGAAAAAATACTCCACCACCCGTTACAACGGTTCGGACCAACGAGAAAAACTAACTGACATTCAAACTTTCTTCAGCCAAATCAAGCCCGCCCTTACGGCGCATCCAAACCCCTTCTCTCTGGCGAGTCTCCTCAACAAACGAGCATTGCTGCCCCTAGATCAGCTGGAGACGACAGTATTCTTTCCTCTACCTACACCTCTGCAGCCCCCCTCTCTTATGCGGCATTCCCCTGCAACCAAAGAATGGACCACAGGTTATATGCACTCGCTACTCATTATAGAGCTGGACTACGTGGTAACATGAGACGAGAAAGAGGTCTTTCACTCAACTGCTCGCGCAAGCGACAATTGCTCGAGTCGGGTGAGGTGGGAGCCTCAACATCTCGACCGGAGTTCGGAATATATATGTGCTGCACCTGATAGTGTCAAAAAACTAGTCGAAAGCTGCTGCCAAACGGTTCTACTAGAAATACTAAGGTTTTGCTGAGCTTTACTGCCGACAGCTGGGGCCTATTCAAACAGACTGGGTCAGCACAGAAGCAATTGCGTGTCCGCGATTGGGCCGTTCCTCCCCCATCTACCGCAGATCCCTGACTTCCCACATCCGGCTACAACTTCTTTCGATCATTGGGTCGTCATAGGGGAGAAGGCCATTTGTTGATGAAGATTTACTCTGAATGAACCCTCAGATGTGTTTCGATATCGAGGCTTCTACGAGGACAAATCTACCGATGGCCTGGACGCTAGCAGTGTCCTGGATACCGATGGGGTACTTCAGTAACTGAAAACCAAAATAGAGAATAAACACTCTGAAATGGAGAAGTGAAAAGTGGCCCACAATACTGGCAGACCCAATAGATTAGGAGATTCGTGCGGTTGACCAGCCCCTTTTCGGGATGCGCCACGATTACTATCTTCCGTCACAATCGTAGGCGGCGGGGGGGATTTAAATTGCGAATGTGCCTATTAATGACTCACAGGGGCGACTAGGTACAAGTCGGTAACTTATACCCCAGGGAGAACCTGATACCATTTGCCGTCCTCGGAGGGATGCAGACCTTTTGGGCGGCGGAGCAAGTTCAGGATTCAATCCCAAACACGCATTGCGAGTATAGCAATGCCACTCCCACTACACCACCTCCGCCTCACCAAATGGAACAACTGTATGAGACTCCCCTAAGTTTACAAAGCTTACTTGAGCATTCTCTGGCCGATTATACGCAATGGGGTTGGATGTAGTCTAGGCATCAGTTCACAATCGTATTCCGTCATTGACGGACCCAAGAGGTAGCGAGTTTGTCGTTCCGCCAGCAGCTTAAATTACATTGGTCATTAACGAGCACATTAAGAGCATTATGACTCTTTCACAAACCTGATCAATACCAGCTAGTTGCTCTACAACACGATTATAATGGGTCTTGATTTGTGGCGGCAATGACTCAACGGATGAAATGTCACGCCTTTCTTTGTCATACTCAGTTTTCGCTCGTAGGAACAGTTTGAAGTTCTGCAATATGTTCTCATCCATATAAGTCTTTCATTTCAAGGAAAACACACGTACACAGATGAAAGAAACAGCTTAAATGCCTGAGATACACGCCTACAAAGGAAAAAGCAAGCTGAGATCTTGGCACTAGATCCTGGTTTGCTCGCCGCCCGATATCCTGTCTTGCTCCCCATATCCAGCTTTGGTGCGAGAGTGGAGCTCCGTGCCTTCCTCTGCGCAGAATACTGGCAGTTTCACCATCGAAACAAGGAAAGTTATGGGGGAGGGCACACCATCGCGTTTTGTTAAATATTCGAAAAATACCTCCTCCTTCCCTCATAGACCTTCTGCAACCTGAATCATACGTCTTTGTCAAATTTCGGGGCAGTTTCGCCACAGGGAGCAGGGCGAGGGAGGAGGCGAACGGGGAGGGGGGGGAGATCCCCGTGACTAACCATCATCGTTAGTAGGTCTGCAACCGGTGACTAGGAGATGCTTTGCAGAAGGGGATACAGTATAACAGTTTTTTCTCACGGCTAATTAAGGTTTGGCCACGAAGAGAATACCGTTATACTGTATCCCCTCCTGCAAAGCTTTCCCAATGGCCAAATACGATCCCCTGGTGTCTGCTCAACGACTATGTGCGCTGATGGCGGAATCAGGTAGTTTCTGGGACTGAGAGCTACGTCCCTTCGTTTGTTCCTTTGTAGGTGCGTATCTTGATCATTTAAGCAGTTTTTCTATAAGACTTTTGGGGCAGTTTAGCGAAGGAGGGGCATTTTGCATTTTTGCTACTTCCCATACATGTCAAGTCATGTGGAGAGCTATTTCATAAGCTTAACAGGGTTGACAGGTTTCACCATGGTAGCTCGACGAGTTTGCTCCAGATTCACGCTCAAAAGTTTCACCAGAG